TAGGTCTTGTAGAGACCGCAGGTCTTGGGTCTGAAAGTTCCCCACATGAGCCCCCCAACCCAGGTCCGAAGCGTCCCTGTACCTGAACGGGACCCCTTGGAGCATGTTGTTTGGGGCGGATCACCATCGCAGGGAGGTGATCACCGAGTTCGGCACAGTGAGGACTTTGTCCATTCTGTCCATGGCCTGGGATAACTGCGAGGCCAGCCAGAGCTGGAGGGGCCTCATTCTGAGTCTGGCATCACGGACCACATATGTGCACGCAGACATGTGATCCAGCAATTGCAGGCAAGCCCTGGCTGTCGTCACCAGGAACCTTGTAACCGAGTCAATGAGCGCTTTCAGGGTCTCAAACCTGTCTGGTGGGAGAGGGGCCCTGGCCAACATTGCGTCCAGTAGCGCCCCGATAAACTCTATGCGTTGGACTGGGACTAACGTGGACTTTGCGTTGTTTATCAACAGGCCCAGGGCAGTACATGCGGACAGGAGGAGCACCACATGATTCCCCCCCCCACAACCGGGAGGTGCCTTTGACGAGCCAGTCATCCAGATACGGGAATATCTGGACCCCCTGGCGTCTGAGGTAGGGCACTACCACCGCCATACACTTTGTAAAGACCCTGAGGGTAGTGGACAGACCAAACGGGAGGACTGTGAATTGGTAGTGAATCTGGGCTCACCATGAAACAGAGAAAGTGTCTGTGCCCCTCAAATATGTGGATGTGGATGCATCCTGTAGATCGAGGGCAGCGTACCAGTCCCTGGGATCCAGGGAGGGGATGATGGAGGCCAGGGAAACCATGCAGTGGTTCAGGCCTCGCAGGTCCATGATGGGCCTGAGCCCCCCTTTGGCCTTCGGGATAAGGAAATACTGGGAGTAATACCCCTTGCCCAGAAACTCCTTGGGCACTGCCTCTATAGCTCCCAGATCCAGGAGCCGCCCCACCTCCCGCTCGAGCAGAGCCTTGTGAGAGGGGTCCCCCAGGAGGGACGGGGCAGAGGGCGGTTGGGTGGGGAGGAGGTAAACTGAACGGTGTAACCTCTGGAGATGGGGTTGAGGACCCATCGGTCCGAGGTGAGCCGCGACCATTCCAGGAGGAAAGAACACAACCGATTGGAGAAAGGAAGCTTTATTGTGGGTAGGTCCCTGATGAGAACTGGCGGGGTACCCCCGAGCGTACCGTCAAAAATGCCTTTTGCCCATCTGATTGACCTTAGAAGACCCAGGCTCGGGGGCAGGCCAGGATTGCTGTTGCGGGCGCTTTCTATAGTACCGCTGCTTTCTGTTGGCAGCCTCGTACTTTGGGAGGGCAGCCTGGGCGGGAGCCTGCTACAGCTTGAACTTGGGTTTTGCCTGAGGAGGGACACAGAGGCCCAAGGTCTGGAGGGTCGTGCGGGAGTCTTTCATGCCATGCAGCCTTGCGTCTGTTTCCTCAGCAAACAGAGCCTTCCCATCGAAAGGGAGATCCTGCATAGACAACTGTGCGTCGCTGGAGAGCCCAGAGAGCAGAAGCCATGATGCCCGTCTCATGGACACAGCTGAGGCCATGGACCGTGCAGCCGTGTCCGCTGCATCCGAAGCGGCCTGCAGGGATGCCCTTGCGGCTGCCGCCCCTTCCTCCATGAACACCTTAAACTCCTTATCGTGCTCCCGGAGGGAGTCCTCAAACTTGGGGAGGGATTCCCAGAGGTTAAACTCATAGGAATCCAGGAGAGCCTGACAGTTTGCTACTCGTAGCTGAAAGCTTGACGACAAATAAACTTTTCTCCCGAAAGCATCCAGCCTCTGAGAGTCTTTGTTCTTGGGGGTCGGGGCTGGTTTCCCCTGCTGCTCCCAGTGGTTGACCGACTCGCCCACCAAGGAGTTGGGCACTGGGTGGGTATACAGATACTCATGTCCCTTCAGGGGTACAAAGTACTTGCGCTCCGCCTTTTTAGAGATGGGAGCCAACAAGGCGGGTGTTTGCCACAGGGCATTTGAAATTCTTGCCACCCCTTCATGAAGTGGGAAGGCCACCCTGACAAGTGCTGAAGGGGACAGATCATTGAACAGGGAGTCTGAGGGTTCTTCCATCTCCTCAGCCTGGAGACGGAGGCTTGCTGCCACCCTTTTTAGGAGGTCTTGGTGGGCCCGGTAGTCCTCCTGCGGGACGGAGGGGGGCAGGGCCACAATCAGCTCCTCCAGATGGGGCCAGGCCGGTGCGGTGCTTTGGGTGTCGTCCGGCACTGGAGGATCCATCACCTAGTCAGACTCCAGGCACGGTACCGAGTGAGCCTTTTTTCTGGCAGTCTAAAGATGGATGCCAACGGTGCTCCCGAGGCCCCGGCCACCGAGTGAGCCCCCACCAGGGGCTGCACCAGAGGCCATGGTGCCCACTGGTACCACTGGGCCAGCCACGACGCTTGGTGCCATTACGCTTGCTGAGGCACCAGCGGGGCCAGCTGTTCGAGCTAGCTTGGCCTGTACACGGGCGGCGGTGAGGGGAGGCCAGGCTGGCGTATAATCCGCTGCTGCCTCTGGACTGGGAGTATCAGCGGTGCCGGGATCTACGTCGGCCACGGGACCGCACCTATGGTAGTAGCTGCTCCGCGAACAGCCTCGACAGGTGTACCCACTTCGGCAATCGGGGCTACGGTGCCTTGGCGGAGACTTGGAATGGGAGTCCAAGCAGGAATGGCGTCGACAATCATGCTGCAACTGACTGCAGTATCTCCTGCAAGACTAGGACCGTTGGCGATGTCCATCACATCCCCTCGATATTCGCTTCACGAAGACGAGCGGTGCCAGGAGTCATGGTCGGATGGCACCCATCCGGACAGTCTTGCAGGCATCAAGGGCAATCTACATGGACTGAGCCCTGAACAGTCGCTGGGCAGTGAGTGGTGTCAGGAACATTCCCTCGATCGAGACCAGTACCGGGCCGGTGGTGACTGCGGTGATCCCAGCGGCGGCTTGCCTCTGGAGCATGGGGCCGACATCGGCGGAGCTCCGACACAGGCATGGACATGATGCCTCTGGCTGCCTGGAGGGCTTTGGACGTAGATGGCACCTGGACATCTGGAGAGGCCTGCTCCAGCGCCAACTCCATCAGGATGGCCCGGAGCCTAATGTCCCTTTCTTTTTCAGTCCAGAGCTTGAAAGACTTGCACCTTGCACCTTTCGCTGACATGGGTTTCTCCCAAGCAGCACAGACAATCCGCGTGTGGGTCGCTCCTTGGCATGCCCCGGCCCGGGCTCAATGACTGACTAAACTAACTGAATTACCTAACCGACTACAGGTAATACTGAACAAACAAAGAGTTCTGGGAACGAGCTGCAGCAAAGCTGGAGCTGAGCAGTTCCGATGCACCTTCACTGGCGGCAAGAAGGAACTGAGGGTGGGGGGAGTGCAGCCCCCCTTATACTGCGCCAGGCAGGTGCCGCTCCAGGGGTCGCGGGGGGGCGCTCCCCCCTACAGGTACTGCTAGGGGAAAAACTTCCGGCACCGGTGCATGTGGCGAGCACGCACACATATTGTGGAATACACATGAGCAATCACTCAAAGAAGAACTTGCAATCAGCTTTGAGGAAATATGAATTTGTAACATAAAAATGGTAAATAACAAACCAAAACTTGCCAAGCCAGCATAAAGTAGGGGGAAAAAGAGCTCTATATTATAGTAACCCATGAAAAGAGACATAGCAAGATATAGCACAGTGTTAGTCTTAATATCTCACAGGTTCTTGTTCAGGTTTTCTTATTTGCCAGAGAAATACCACTCCAATCACAAATTCCAGTTTTCAAATTCTAACACACCAACAAGTGAAAAGTATGTCACAGCAGCACAGACATGTTCTGTCCCTGCATGTGGTTTTGATCCTCTCTTCATTTGAGCAAAAGCAAATCAGAAAGACAACGTAACTTATAAAAGATATGACTTATTTGGCAGGTAGATCAGTTGGCAGAGATGCCAGATGATCCTGTCAGAATACCAGGGACCTATAACAATACATAAGTTACCCCAAATACTACAAAAATGTCTATCTACACAGTCAGTTTATAAAACAGCTTAAATCAAACTCATTTTCACTTCCAGAGGGAAAATAAACTAACCACCTTCTTTCCAGAAATCATCTGAGAAATGTCCAGGATCACAGTAACAGGCATAGAATTATACACAGTGAGTCAAATTAACTCACTAGAATAAACATGTGTGATGTCATTGACGTTAATCGAGTTGTACCACTTACATCATGAGTGATTTTGGCTCAGTATTTTAATGCCACACTAGTTTTGTTAGACTCTCTTTTACAATCCATCTCAAAGAAAGGCTTCTGCTGGGTACAAAGACATCAGAAAATGCCTACTTGCCATCTATCCTTTTCAAGAAGGATTCAATATTTAAATGATGACAGTCTTTTTCGAATAAAAAACAGATATAATTTTTTTAAAGTTTCATAATTAAAATGGTCCAATTTTGAATACAGTTTCTATTAACAACATAATGTGATCCTAAAAAAGGAAAAACAACAATACATAATATAACTACTGGCTCCAAATAAATACGTATCATTAAATAATACTTCTTTGCCGGTGTATGGAGTTGAAAGAAAATGAAACTCAATTCAGAAACACAGTGTTCATACTTTCTCACACATCATCACTGACATTTTTTTTCCACCGCCTCTTCATTTTTTGGTTAAAGTTATTGGCTATTGGTTATTGGAGTGTGTTGGGGAAGGGGGGAACGGACGGACACACACAGGACTTGAACATTTAAACAATAAAAGGAAAATCTTAAGTGATTCTAGTTTATTTTTGGCATACTTTGTATTTAGAATATTTCCAAGTTAGTAGTAGTACATTAAAACTATAAATAAGTAAACTGGCTATTAGTATACTAGAATATCAAAAAGTAGCAAAGTAATTTATGTATAATTTTAGAAACTAGAAGTTCAGTAATCATTTCAATTGATTATCACGCAGAAACCAGACTATTCCATGCCATATGAGACCTACCTTTTTATCGTATACATCTTGCCAGTTTACTCCAACAAAGAAACTATGCCGCATAATTTCTTTTGCATCATCTGGGCCTCCACCAAGGCTAAGGAGAGAAAAAGAGATTACACATTATACAAATGTTGTTCCTAAAATGAGACTCATTTATCATAATTGTTGGGAGATTAGCAGTTTGGTCATGAATATTTAGATACAATTCTGTCCCTTTTCAGTAGGAAATGCTACATTCAGGTGACCACGACAATAGAGCTCATAATAAAGATATTTGACACAGTGCTCCATTTGACAGATAGGCTATTCGGTTATTCCCACTGAATTGTTCATTACTGTATATGTCAAGCTTCATCTACAAATCACCAACTCTATAACTGAGCTTACTTTAGTTTTAATGAAAGGCCAAGGAGTCTGACAGTATTGGAAAAAAAAATATCACTATACAAATTTGCAGGGGAAGTGTGAGGCACCAAAATGAATCAACAACAATTCATGTATTATGTATGTATTTTTATACAGTGCCCATTGCTGTAGCATCAGGATTTTGTAACCATTAACTATTTACCATAAAATAGTCAGAATATGAGATAATTAAGCATAAATTAATACATTGTAGCTTGCTGAGGAGGTTATTTAAAGGCTGCTCTAAATATCCACACCACTCATTGTGGCCTGAAGCTTGCCAAACCCAGACTCTGGCAAACCATCAGGAGTGAGTTCCACGAGTAGAGCCCTCAAATAAGAATGCCTAGCCAATGGTCTAAAACAATGACACCATGGGAGCCACCAACAAAAGCAAACCACCTGATCTGAACTGAGGCAATGGGATTTGAGGCAATGGGACATGCCCTCCTTACTCTGGCCAAGAGGAGACTGGGTCCTAGACCATCAGAAACTTAAAGGACAGTAAGTGATATCTTGATTTTCATCTAAAGGTAAACAGATAGCCAATGCAGACCACAGAAGACCCAGGTAATATACTCATTATGAGTCTACTAGGTAAGTCTGTACAAGTTGAAATCCAACTTCTCTTCAAAAGTTCCTCCAAGTGGAGCACATTGCAGTATTCTGGTCTGGAGACCAGTCAAGGATCAATGTGGTGAGATTCACATCCGACTACCACTGCTCTCTGAAGTTCTAGACTTAGTAAACTATTGGCTCAAATATGGCCTCAGGACTGTGGACCAGAATGGCAAAGGGCTAGCATACACTCCAAAAGAGAGGATGCAGAAAGGGAAAGGTAATAATAATTGTTCATTATTTGTCCCCATATCCTGAAATATAGAGAAATGGTGGCCAAACAGGGGACTTTGAATTATACAGCATACTAACTATAATTTCTTTTTGAGAAAATCACCTGTCAGTCAAAGAACAAGCATAATATGTTACGCTCTCGAAATTATGAGTACACAATATTGATATTATCCAGCAACATAGATACAGTAGAACATCAGAGTTACGAACACCTTGGGAATGGCGGTTGTTCGTAACTGAACAAAATGTTATGGTTCTTCTTTCAGAAGTTTTCAATTGAACATTGACTTAATGCAGCTTTGAAATTTTACTAAGCAGAAGAAAAATGCTGGTTTTACTCATCTTAATTTAAATGAAACAAGCACAGAAACAGTTTCCTTACCTTGCCAATCTTTTTTTTAAACTTTCCCCCTTGTTTTAGTAATTTACATTTAACACTGTACTGTACTTGCTTTTTTTATTTGTGTCTGCTGCTGCTGATTGCATACTTCTGGTTCCAAATGAGGTGTGTGGTTGACTGGTCAGTTTGTAACTCTGGTATTCACAACTGTCAAGTTCTACTGTAAATCATGCCAAAATGAGCTGGATCCATACAACCATTTTTAGTAGTGGTCTGTCTCTGTTTTATACTGACAGCACAGCAGACAAGTAGTTAGAATGTATAGTCAAGTGACTGATATACAGGTGTTAGATGGAAAACAAATGGTTATGTTTCTTTGAGAATTTGAAAATTCTGTCTCTGTATTACGCACAGGAAGAGACAGCAAGAAACATGAATTAGTGAAAATTTCACACTGAGGCATATAACCAACCGGTGCCTCTTCTATCCACTAATACATGTATTCTTCAGCACAGAAAAGACACATTAAGGCAGTCCTGTCCCACGCCCTAGTCCCTCAGATGAGATAAGAAAAGGTTCCTGAGACATATACTATAGAGCAGAGGTTCTCAAACAGTGGTCTGTGAGCTCCATTCAGGTGGTCTATGGATAGTTCCGTCTATGAAAATGAGAATGAAAGTCCACCCACCTAATTAATGGAGCCATGCAGTGAGAAGAGGGGGGAGGGGGAATTTGGGACATGCAGGGCTGTGGTGGCCAGGGAAAGAGATGACTTTCCCCAGCTCCAGGGCTGCGGCTGCCGGGGAGAGATGGCCCTCTTTCCCCGCCTCAGCTCTGTGGTGGGGGAGAGACCCCCCCTGCTTCCCAGCTCAGCTCTGTGGCTGACGCAGAAGGGGAGAGAGAGGGCACATCCATTGCATTAGAAACATAAAAGACTACTGATATTAAAGTATGAGTTGTGTGTTTTTATCTGTAGAACAAAAAACGTTAATTATTAAGGTTTTTTTAAATATATAGTGCTTTTATCTAAAGTGCTTTACAATATTTAACTAACGGTACAAACAACATTTGGAAAGATCATTAAGTGGTCCGCCGAGACCCTCAGCAATTTTCAAGTGGTCCATGAAAAAAAAGGTTTGAGAACCACTGCTATAAAGTGCGCACTTTATATGCATCCAACAAGAGGACAATAGAGTTCAATTCTATCTTAGTGTTATAATGACATCTCAGACCAGACTAGTGGGGATTGAGAAATACATCTGGAAGTGTTCCAACACCATTTTCTCAATAACCCTCCCCAAAAAGAGACCTGTCAATAACTGGCAAGATTCTTTACATCAAGAGACTATGTAGAACAAAGGCTAAACCAGATTTTACGTAAAAATTCAAATTTTTTTTTTTATTTTATCCAAACCTATTCAACTAAATAGCAATCAGTAAACCCAACTCATTGTCAAACCAATCTCGGTTCCATTAAGAGTTTTCAATTTAAAAAGGGCTGGGTGATTATCAGGTCCACTTCCTAGTGGACAAAAACCCCTTCATAAAAATGACACTGTTACTAGTCTTGTTTTGTTTGGATTCATTGAGGACTGAACTATTCTCTCATTCCCAGAAGTAGTCATTCTAAGTCTAAACTGAGGCACAAACAAAGACAAATTTAGGGCAAATCTATGAATCTGGACCCTCCACCTCAAGGGGACACAAAGATAGTGAAGTATTCACTCCACAGGTATGTCTACATTGCAGTAAAAAACCCATGGCTAGCCCAGATTAGATTATTTGAAATAACAAGGCTTGGGCTGTGAGGCTAAAAAACTGCAGTATAGAGGTTTGGGTTCTTACTGAAGGCAAACATCTGAGACCCTTCAAGGAGGGAGGGTCTCAAAGCCCAGACTCCAGCCCAAGCCGAATATCTACACTGCAATTTTATAGTCCTACAGCCCAAGCCCAAGTCAGCTGACCCCGGCCAGCTGCGGCTCTGCCATGGGTCTTTTATCGTAGTGTAGTCGTACCCCATGAGACCAGTGCCAATCAAGGTCCAGTGTCCTTGGACGACAGTTGAAGAGAAGCCTACACTTTCACTGCCTTTTTTTTTTTAAATAGATAAATTCAGTTTTCAGCATGTCAGTAGTCTACCAACTTTCGTGAGGAAGGGAATGTTCCTTCCTTCCCCGCAGTATATTCTCTCTGCCTCCTTCCTCTGAAGTACTGGAGATGGCCACAGCTGGAGATTGGATAGAGGATGGAATGAGCCTACGCTCTGAGGTGGTTTTGAGAATTCTCTCTCCCAGGTACTTGGCTGCTGAGTTTTGCTTTCATGCTCAGGGTCTAACCGATTATCATATTCAGAGTTGGGAAGGAATTTCCTCTGGGTCAGATTGGCAGGGACCTTGGGAGCTTTTCACCTACTTCTGCATGGGGCGCAAATCTCTTGCTAGGATTATGCCACTTACACTGAGGGGCCTCAGGCATTAGTGCACCTCGGTCCCTCCAGCTCTTTACCTGTGGCACACAGTATTTTAGTTTCCTGAGGGCTGCAATACTTTGGTCTAACTCTGATTGTTGGGCTTGATGTGGAGGTGGCTGAGTGGTGTTTAGTGGCCTGTTATATACCAGAGGTCAAACTGGATGATCTGGTGGTCCCTTTTGGCCTTGAACTCTTATAATTCTATAATAACTAAAGATAAGAAAATAATCAAGAATAAAAAGGACAAATGTCAAACCTTAGTAAGGAAAGTGGTATAAACAGGCAGTGTGTTTCATCAGATGGATTAGACAATAAAATAAAAAGCCCAGAGCAGTCTTTCAAACCATCTGTGTTTCTCTTTAAGGCTTATTATTTCAATGTGCTCAAAGAGCAGTAATTCCCACAAACAAAACAGACTGGTCTTATATTGCCAGAAATTGAAACAGAAAAATCCAAGCCTGGGCCATCACCTTAGCCACTGGGGCATGGAGTCCTCCTTATTCCAACACATCATTCCCTTTTTGTTTCCCAAGCAATTATTCAGAGTTTCCTGCCTCTCTACTAAGGAACCTGATTGGCCTGCAGTCACCAGCCTGGCCTCTCAATATCTTTCGCGATCATCTGTGCAAGGAGAAGCCAAGCTGCAGTTAACCCTCTCCCCGTGTGTCAGTGGCTACCATCCATACACCAAACAAAGTTGGTTGGTAAATATTGCTCTATCATAAATACTACTATCTGCAAAGAAGAATTACAGGGAACTATTTTTTTCCAACTCTAAAAGTTAATATTTTTGAAAGAACACCATGCTTGGAGATTAAAAAGCATTATATGTTGCTATACAAACAAATATTTATTTTAGTCCAAGAAGATATTCTCTATACTGAATTAAACACTACTTTAATTTACTGAATTAAATATTTATTTAAAAATAAGAGACAGAAATAAGGAGATATCCACCCAGCTACCATACAGCCTCACTCTGCAATCAATTCAAATTAAAGATATTTATGCATAACTGCTATATTTT